GGAGACCCCAGCAAGCACCGCACTCGTCCACGTCCAGCGGAGGCTCTGCCGACTCCGCACTCCGGGTGCCATGCAGCGTCCTCATTATTGTCCTTATTTCCCAGGAGTCAACACGGTGAGGCTTTGGGTCGAAGTGGCCTGCGCACCTCAGACCCTTCGGGAGCGATGGGCCCCTCCCTCGCCCACAGACCCTGGGGCTGAGGCCCATCTCCACCACCACTGCCTGGGGCCTTCCCTTGCTGCGTATGAGGCTGGGGTGACCCTGGGTTGTGCCCAAGCTGCCCACACAGCCCTGGGGACATGGAGTGGACGAGAGCCTGGGAATGCCACCGTCTGCGGCATCATGTTTGCAATCTGCTTAAATGAGGGCTTCGAGGTGAGCAGCCTCTCCCGCGTTATCTACTGGTCCCGAGATGCCACCCGGGCACTTCCAGGAGGCAGAGGCCTTGTGCAGAGCGTGGGGCGATATGGCCGTGAGAAGGGGGTGCCTGGACCCCCAGGAGCTGCAGAGGCAAGATCCTCGCCGGAGCTGAAGGCGCACAGCCCTGCAGGCTTTGGTGCAAGCCCCTGCCCCCCAGAGGCGTGGGAACAAGCGCCTGTGGTCTCAGGGCCCCAGTGTGTGGAGGCCACAGGAAACACGGGAGACAGGGGCGACCCCAGGGACACTGACTGTTCAGTGGCGCAGGAATGCTGCGCTCCCAGCTGCTGACGGAGGCCGTGCAGGGTACGGCCCTGAAAGTCCCCTGCCAGAGCAGGAGGGGAAAGGGCTGGGCCTCTGGGGCCACAGGACGCTGGACCCCTCCGGCCTGCACTGTCTGGGAGCCTGTGAAAGCTCGCCCTTGCCCGAGAGGCCGGGACACCAGGAGATCACTGAGTCCCCACTTCACAGAGGTGTCAGCCTCCAGTCCCCGTGTCAGCAGAGCACAGAGCCCCGGCCACGCCAGGGCAGCACAGGGGGTGCCTGTGCAGGACCAGAAGCCCCGTCGGCCTCAGAGCTCCCAGGACCGGGTGCCCTTGTTGGCCCTCACGACTCCCAGGACCAGGGGCCCCCCATTGAACCTCACAGCTCCCAGGACACCAGGCACGCCCCCCCAACTGCTGTGGTGCTGGGGTGCAGGGACGGCAAGGCTCTGAACCCCTCAGGTCCTCCCCACAGGGCTGGTTGGTGCCACCCACTCCCTGCCACCCTCCTTCCTGCTCCCACATAGCGCACGTGTCTGGTCACCTGTCATCTCCACCTGCCTCTGCTGCTCTGAAGCCTCTGCCTCAAGTGTCCATTCTGTGGAGCCCCCCTTCCTGCTTTCTGTCCCACAGCATTGTCCGGGCCCAGGTTCCCCCAGAATATAGGTCCCTGTCCCCAGTTCCTTGCCTGACCTGCCTCTGAGCTTTCACCTGAGATACCTCCAGCCAGGCTGCAGGCACCTCCCAAGAACTGAAGCCACCCTGAGGATGGGGCCACGCCTGGACACCCGCCCAGCAACCCCCCACCGCCCCCGTCCCCATCCCTCTCCCTGTACTCACAGCTGGGGGTCATTAATTTATTTTTAAAGCCATCAGATGTTTTTTAAAGTTTCATTGACAAATAATAACAAGACCACCTCACTCCTCTGTCTGTCATTCTCCAGCAGCACCGCGTCCATGCCTTGGCCCCCCCAGGCCCTCAGTCCGCCTCTGCCCACCTCCCCAAGCCCTGAAACGTGCCCTGCCCTCCTCCTGCCTAGAATGCTCACCCCACCCTCATCCCATCAGCTCCTGATTAGCTCACCATTCAGATCCTGGCTCCTGCCACCTCCTCCAGGAAGCCTTCCCAGATCCCAGTCCAGGCCAGGTTTCTCGCCGGACGCTGTGCTTCAAGGCCCTCTTCCCTTCCTCCTCAGCAGTTCCTGTGTGTGATCACGCACTAATTTGGGAACTGGTGATTCACAACCCTCCCCATTCGGTCCCCCTTCTAGCCTGGGTCCAGTTGAGTGCTCGGCCCTCAGCAGAGGGGTGGGTGGGTAGTGAGAAAGAGACCAGGAAAGCAGAGACAGAACCCTGAGCCTGGAGGGGGGCAGGACCCCAGGCTGAGGCCCCGGGGCTCACACAGGAGAGCTGCTTTCGCCTCTCAGGCTCGGTGGCCCCCGAGGTGGGGGTGTGGGCAGGCGTTGCCTTTTCCAGGTCCCCATTCCTTGCTGCAGGACAAGCCTGGCCAGGCAGCTCCTTCTGGGCCCGAGCCTGCACGCCCGGTGCCTGCACCTGAAGCAGGAGGCTGCTCCCAGGCACAGCAGCCCTGGAGCCCGGTCCCCACCGCCTGCCCCCACCCAGGACCTGGGGGTCCCTGTGGGTGCAGGAGAATCCCCAGGGAAAGGCCTCTCCTGCCAGCCTGAGGGTACAGTGGCCACAGGCCACTCACAGGCCCCCGGAGCCGGCCACGACCACCCAGGGCACACGTGCCACTCACTCAGAGGCGGGACCTGCTGTTACCCCAAGAGAGCTGAACAAACAGGCTCAGAGGTATTGGCTTGCTGAGGCCACAACAGCAGGTGACCAGCCGGGACAAGGCCCAGCAGCCTCTATTCCTGCACGGGAGGCCGGCCCAGCCTCGGCACACCTGGGTCAGGACCTCACACGGAGGGGTGCTCAAGTGCGCTACACAGCTGGGCGCGCGTCCTGGGGAGGCCCCTGCTCAGGCTGATGTGCTCAGCCCTTGTGCCAGCCAGGCCGCCTCTCAGCACCACTGGTCACGGCCCCTGTGGTCTGTGGGGCATCCACCTACCCCTCAGCTGAGCCTCTAGCACCCCCAACAAGCGGAGAGTGAGGGGTCTCTTAGGGGGAGATGCTGAGCTCATCATCCCTGCAACGGAGCAGATCTGGCTGTGCCTGCAGCGACCACCCCCTGACAGGTGCTGGGCGGCACAGACACCCACAATCCTCAGGAAGCTGCTGGGGCAGGTCAGGGTGGCCGGTGGGCGGGGACCGGGAGGACAACCTTCCCTGCCTGAGCTCAGCCCCCACGCCTGCCTCCTCCTCCTGCTCCCCACTCGGGCATGGCCACCCCCACCCCACGCCTCTTTCAGCCTCTGCTCAGAGAAGTGCACCTTCAGGATGGTGTTGGCGGGTCCCCCTTCCCAGGAAAGGCAGGTCCCCCACATTACCCCTACAAAGAGCGACCAGAGTGACTGCTGACGCTTCAAAGCAAACATGTCCTCCAGAGACCACCAACGCCACACAGGGCAGGACATCCCACGCCCCTTGAGATGCCAGCTCTGACCACGCTGAGCAACTGGTCTTTAACCCTTAGGAAACAAAACCAGAAAGCCGACCAGGCACATGCCGCTCTGCACTTTGGCGCTGAAAGGATCTGGCACCCCCACTCCCAGGGCAGGGGGCTGGTCCTGGCACGGGACCAGGGAGCAGCAGCCCTGGGGCAGGCACTGCCCCCCGCAGAGGCAGGCAAACCCGTCTGGTGAGATTTTTCTGCGCTTCCGGATAAACACAGCCGGCCCTGAGCCTGCAAGGCTGCGTCCTCCGCCACGGGCTCCCTGCCAGCCAAGGCCTCTGGCCTCACTTGCGGACCTGGGTGGGGCACACAGCCCGGTAAATGCCCGAGTCCAGAACTTGGGGAGGGTCCCCCAGGACAGCAGACTCGAGTCCTCTGAGCTTCCTCCGATCCCTTGGAGGACGGTGCCCCAGCTTGACAGACTCCCCCAGACTCAAGCCAAGAGGTGGCCCCCACCCGCACTCCCCAACATGGCACCTGCCCCACCCCTGCCCAAAGGCTCCAGAACTGACCAGAAAAGGGCCTGGTTCCTGAGGCAGGGGGAGCAGCCACATTTGTGCCTGAACAGCTGGGCAGCCTGGGGACCCTGGCTTGATGACAGTGGCCTCTCATCACTGCATTCACCCCAGAACCCCAAACGCAGCGCACAGCAGTGGAGGGCACTCAGCCGCCCCACTCCCCACCCCCACCAAAGGCTAAGGCTGGAGGATTGTCACCTGGGAAACGGCAAGGCCTCTGGGCAGGCGGCCAGGGCAGACAAGGTCACCAGCCGTCACCCAGGCCTAGGCAGAGACTCTGCCCCTGCCCTCTGCATATAGCCCCCGGCCCTGGAATCTCTGCATCCAGGGGGCCATTAGGCCACCCAGCCAGGGAGAGGTGCACAGAGGGCCACCAGGTGCCCCCGCCCGGAGGGGACTCCCCACAGCTAGCCCAGAACCCACTGGGGAGGCAGGAGGGGCATCGGGAGGTGCTGGTAGAGTGGCCTTCAGATGCCAGCCAGCCCCTCGAGGGGCTCAGGGCAGAACCCAGCCCCTCTCGGCAGGCCCTGGATGCCCCACACAGTGACCACAGGGTCATGGGCGGTGCCCCCGGCCCCAAGAGGTGACACTCCCACATCTCCACACAGCATAGAGAATCCGCACAAGGCCTGGCTGGAGATTCTACCAAGCACTCTTGGGAGAGGCCAAGAGTGAGACACTGTCCCCAGGAACAGGCCCCCACACATGTCCTAGGCCCTGGGCGCCTGGCCACGCACAGCCCGCTGACAATGGAGTCCACATTGGCCCAGGAGGAAGATTTAGGGGGTCGAGGGGGGCAGGGCTAGGCCAGTCTGGGAGCTGAGGCAGGGGCTTCGTCTGAGGGTAGGAAACTCGCCTGGCCCTCCCTGATTTCATGTCCTGGACGGCTGATCCATGAACAGGAGGAGGGAGAGGGTCCTCTCTGATGCTGGGAAGAGCAGTGAGGGTTTGCCCGCTGAGTAATTCAAGACAGGCCTGGGCTCTCCCTCCCCAGGATCAGTTGAACCGCATCCCCACACATGAGAACCTCCTCTCTGGCACGCCTTTGAAAAATGGCTGCAAAACACAAACTCGATTTGTGCTTTGTAATGCGCCTCGCGTGAATCAGAAGCGTGGATGGCATTACCAGCGAGGGCAGCCATTTCCAGGAGGCGGGGGGTCCCCGGCGGCTCCCTGGGCCTCAGCGCCTGAACACACGTGTGAGTCTGGGCTGGCACACTCACCTGGTCAGGGAACCAGTTACGTTTCAAACTGGGTTAAGAGCTCCCTGATTTCCGGGGCCACGTGTCTCGCGGCATTGGCAGCCTCGGTTATAGCTTTCCGATACATCCCCTTCTTCTTACGGTTAAATCTCAGTTTGAAAAATTCAGAGAAAGGGGAGAGTTTTGAAATAGACAAGAATGACGTAGTCGGAGAACCAAACCACGAGACCTTCGCTTCTCGCCAAGAGGGCTCACCATCCTCCTTCTGGCCAAGGCTGATGCCGAGAACACGCGCCGGCCACCAAGGAAAACCATGGATCTTACCCCACACGATGTCCCCCACGGCCACAGTCCTGCCGTCCTCTGTGATGCACTCGGACACGCTCTGCGTGTGCAGCCGCACCGTCAGGGGCGGCACCGTTGGGCGAACCTCTCTGGACGAGGAAGGCGCCGACGCGCCGTGGCTGGGCGACAGGTCGCCTGCGTCTGCAGGCGTCCCTTCTGAGCCGGATGATCTGGCCTCGTCCAGGCTGTCGCTGCTGCACGCCAACTCACTGGCACAGTCCGCTCTCCCCTCCGGGCAGCTGACAAGAAAAGCCAGGCCACCGCGTCCCTGTGGACCTTGGGGACAGCTCTTGAGGTCGTCGTCCTCACCCGAACTTCCGGAAGACAAGTCTGCCAGCCCAGTGGCAGGGCCGTCCGCACAGGGCATGGGCGAGCTGGCCCGTGGGCACCCATTCAGCTCCTCCACCAGCTCGGCACGGTACACGGGCTCGTGCTCACTGTCCCCCAGGCGGTGGGGCTTCAGGCGGATCTTGGGGGGCGGTAGGTCCGTGCTGGGCAGCACAGGCCGCGTCAGTTTCAGCTTGGGGATGGAGGCCGAGGGTACGCCGGGCGGCCGGTCCCGGGGCTCTCTGTCTGGCACCTCGGGGTCCTGGCTGCCCTCATCCTCTGGGGCCTGCTGGGGGCAGAAGGGCTCCAGAGAGCCGTGCACACGGGAGGGGATCTTGACCACCTCGCCCTTGCCCTGGGGCGTGCTGTAGGAGATCTTAATGACCGGGCTGCGGGGCACCTGCTCGGCAGGGGCCCTGTCCTCCTCCCGCCTCTCCCTCTTGCTCCTCCTGGTGGTGGCTGCAGCCACAGGGTCACTGCTCTCCGGCTCCTCCGGCTTGTGGAGCTCCCTGTCTGGGCCACTGCCCAGCCTCCTGCGGGCCCTGGGTGCGGACGGGGGTCCAGGGCTGGCCTCCGGGGGGCTCAGCGTGCTCTTGCACTTCTCACACAGCACCTGGCGTGGCCGCAGGCGGATGGTGCTCAGGATGAGGCGCCCCGGATCTCGGTTGCGGGACAGACGCCGCCGGGTGCGCTTGATGGTCCTGGGCGGTGGCTGAGGCACCCACTGCTTGTACGTGTTCCGGAGCCACAGCGGGTGAGGGAAGGGGGCGCCTTCGAAGTACGGTGGGTATGGGGGCAGGCTTCCGGCGGGCAGCGGCGGTATGAGGGGCGGGGGTGGCTCAGGGCCAGCTGTCTCAGGGGACTGGACCCCTTGGGGAGGAGGCGGGGAGTCGGGCCCCAGCTGCATCACCTCTGCTTCCCCCTCCTCGGGGGCCTGGCCACGGCTGCTGCTGGCGGGGGTGTCATCGGCCTGGGGCAGTGGAGCCGAGGGAGGTAGCCCAAAGAGGCCGGACCTGGCAACAGGGAGAGAGAAAGCAGAGTGAGAAGGGACCCTGGCACAGCTGCCACCTGCACCCAGCCCTCGGAGCCAAGGCCCGGGACCCTCGCTCCAGGAAGTCTGGGCAGCAAGCCATGCCCTGAGGCCAGGGCCGTATTCAGGACTGCACACCGATGCGCACGCCCCTACAAATGTCCAGCGTTGGACGTGTCAGATCAAGGCATGTGCCTTACAAAGCCACGAGGCATGTGGCCTTGACGCTAGCTGCTTCCCTGGCCTGAGAGAGGCACAGAGGGGCTGAATTTCAGTCCATGGCCCCAGGGGAAATATGGCCCCAGGAGGAATGCTCTCAGGAAGGCTGACCTGGCCTGGTCAGGGGACTGGCTGCCTTCTGGCCCACAACCCTGGGCCCCAAAACTCAGGCCCCTTGCTCACAGGCTCATCCGTTCCCTCTTTTCCTCTCCAAGGGGCTGGGGGACTCAGGGAAGACCCCCTGAGAATCAGGCAACCCTTCAGCTCCACATGCAAGTCCCTGGAGAATGCTGTCCTGCAGGACCAGGGTTCCAGGCTCGTGATGTGTATCTGGGGTGGGCCTGCGCGTGGCCTGGGGCTGAGCCCTCTGGAGGTGGCCCCGATGCTTCCAGTGACCCCGAGAGAGTCCTCATCTGCATCTGCCCACACAACCTAGAAGCTCCTCCTTGCCCGCCTGGCACCCCCAGGCCCTCCCCTGCTGGGTCACAGGATCCACAGGGAAAGGAGCACAAGGGGCAGGGGCAGCCACTTGCTGCTGGGGGAGCCACAGTTAAGGCCAAACACAGCAGCCAGCACCCCGGGGCTGCCACAGCCAGGACACCCATCCCAGCTAAAGGACTTCCCATCCTGGGACATGCTGGTCCAGGCAGCCTGTATTTAACGGGCAGTGCCCAGCACTGTGCGTGGCTTTGGGGAATTCATCATCAGAAGCTGGCGGTGACCACGTCCTAGAGTGCGGGCCACGTCACTGCACAGATGCCCAGCTGCCCCGTCCTTCTCGAGGTCCAAATGCAGCCAACGTCCCCAAGCCCTGTCCTGTCCAGCAAGCTGCTGTCCGTGAGTCAGGAAAACAGTTCTGAGAACACTGACGTTACCACACACCACAGAAGGCATGTCCACAGAGTCCACGTGTTTCAACAGTGAGCACGTGGTGTAACACGTAACAAACGGGATGCAGTTTTCAAGACTGCTTTAGCTAAAACAGAAAGAAAGAAGCAGACGGAGGGAACGGGACAGAAATGCACGACGGCACTGTGCCTCGCCAGGGAGGGCACAACGGCGGCCTGGAGCCCTGGTGGGGGGTGAACATGGGGCAGGGCTTCTACTCCGCGGTGGGGTGGCCAGGGTGAGCCCCACGCATCCCATTCTCCTCCAACCAGGCACCACTGTGGTGCCTGCAGCCACAGGCTGGCATCACCGGAGTGCGGGCTGCGCCGTCCCTGTGCCCACTGTCTCCCAGGGCCCGGTGGCAGCCGTGGGAAGCAGATGCTTTGCTGCCTCCATCTCTGATGGGCTGACTTTCATGGAAATAGACATGGGAAAGGAGAGCTGGGCATATGGGCCCCCGGCCATAATGCACTGAGGCCAGTCCCAGGCAGTGCCCTCACCAGGTGCCAGTGCCAGGACCAAGGAGCACAGACCCCGTGCACCCCGGGCCCAGCAGGCCACACCTGGCCCCTCCAGCATTTGTGAGGAAAGTTTTACCCACACACAGCGTGGCCCCCAGGCTCCTTTACATGCTGTCTGTGAGCCAGGCCGCAGTGAGGCCACCCCATCCAATGACGTTCACTTACGCAAAAGGCTTGCTGGACGGAGCTCAGCTGCGGGAGAACAGCCTTTGCCCAGAGCCGGCCCCACCCCCACTCGGGGTTCTAGGCTGGTGTCTCCAAGTTCCCTGGCCTCACGGCCAGGACTGGCCTCTGGCTCATCACCTCCCATGAGCACCTTGTGGGCATTTCTTTTTTTTTTTTTATTTTTTTTTTTATTTGAGACGGAGTTTCGCTCTTGTTACCCAGGCTGGAGTGCAATGGCGCGATCTCGGCTCACCGCAACCTCTGCCTCCCGGGTTCAGGCAATTCTCCTGCCTCAGCCTCCTGAGTAGCTGGGATTCCAGGCACGCGCCACCATGCCCAGCTAAATTTTTGTATTTTTAGTAGAGACGGGGTTTCACCATGTTGAAAGGATGGTCTCGATCTCTTGACCTCGTGATCCACCCGCCTCGGCCTCCCAAAGTGCTGGGATTACAGGCGTGAGCCACCGCGCCCAGCCCTTGTGGGCATTTCACACAGCATGAGCATTCAGAGAACCACCGTGTGTGCTCACACACAAGCACATCTGTGTGTACACACTCACCTGCTGGTGCGGGCACCCTGAGCTTCTGGGCCAGTGCTTATGGCCCCTCTCGTTGGGGTGTCCCTACCAGAGGACAGGGACTACAACAGTCAAAGGGAGGGGCAACCCCACTAGGGCTGGGGAACATGGCATCCTGACCACACGGGGTTGTGGACTGCCTGGGCTGAAGGCACCAGGAACCCAAGGACAGCGTGCAGAAAATGGCTGCTGCCAGGCCTGCTGGGGCAGGGGGGCCTCCCTGGGCCACCTCTTCCAGTGGTCAGGGGAAGCTGGTTGGCAGGAAAAACCATAGCCTGGATACCAGAGGGGACCCTCCTCCAGGGCTGCAGAAACGGCACCTGCCCCACCCCTTGCCCCAGGATCTCCAGGCACAGGCCAGGGGCTAGTCCCTTCCTAGGCAGATCAAACGGGTGGGGGACAGTCTGAGCTTTGCCATCCCCTTTGGGACCCTGAGTCACACCTGCATCAGTGCCCAGGGACCCGCCAATCCAGCCCCGCAGAGTCGGCCGGTGACCCTCAGGCAGCTGTACTTCCTTCCTGGAGCTGCCGCCCTGCCCAGGCCACACCCCAGCGTACTGGTGGGTAAACAGGGTGGGAACAGCTCACTCCCCAGGCTGGCATGGGTGGGGAAACCCAGCTCCGGGGAGCTTGCAAAGCTGACAGCAGGGTCCCCAGGCTGCCGGGACCTGGACTCCTGCTCTCCTTGAGCAACACCATGAGAGACAGATCACAGCCTCCCCATTTCAGGGGGAAGGGCCGGTGAGGCTGTGTGAGACCAGGAAACGTGCCCCCAGGCTGAGCGGTGGGTGCTGGCTGGGGTCTGCTGCCTCTAGGCCTGGGGGTGGCGCTGGCACAGGAAGAAAGTGGCTTGTCCTGGACCCTGGGACCTGAAGGGTGGGGGCCTCTGGAAGTGCACAGGTGCGGCGTGATTCCACACACACACACCTCTAGGGACAGCCCCACCAGCCTGGCAGTGCCCCACAGGTAACACCGAGCCTTGGCAGGTGGGAAGAGGGGGTGGCCTGGAGCCAGATGAGCCTGCTGGATCCAGGCTGCCCTTTTAGGGCCCCCAGTTGGACACAACCATGGGGGCGTGACCTACCTGTGGGGAGAAGAAGGATGTGCAAGGGGCCCTGAGAAGGAGGCCTCAAGAGGCATCCTTGGGAGCTCAGGGACAGAATAAATAACCTTTGCTTTGAGAAACAGCTGGGGAAACTGAGGCAGGGGTGAGAAGCCCAGGTGTCTGTAATTGCAGAAGGGACCAGATCCCAAAGCAAAAAGTACCCCGGTGCCACTCCTAATGGCACGGCGGCGTCCCGGCAAGGACACGGAGGCCCTGGAAACCAGGCCTGAGGTCCTTAGCCAGACACAAGTGGCAGCGTCATTACTCAGCCATGGCCGCCCTGGGGCCTCGCCTGGGTGTCAGGCTCAGCTACACCCCCAGAAAGGCCCAGGCCTGAGGTCTGCCTGTGGCCGTGCTGGGAGGAGCGCTGCCCTGGCCGCCTGCCCGAGCCCCCGGCACTCGCTGGCAGCACCTCCAGCCGGCTCCCCCATTCCACAGCCCAGGGCCGAGCGACGGCCTCCTGTCCTCCCTCCCGGGCCCACGTTCCCCCTGGACCTTTCTTCCTCACTCTCTGTGAGGAAAGGCCAGCCCGTTGTGGCCTAAAGAGGTAAGGAAAACGCAGCTCTGCAGCAGGAACAGACAGTCCCCGTGCAGCCCAGGTCAGCCCCGAGGCCAGCACCCAAGGCCTGCCTCCGCTGTGCTGCAGTGTGGGTCTAGAAAGCACCACAGTCTCCCCACAGCCCTACAGACACCCACAGCAGGACCAGGCCAGCACTTGGGAAACAGGGCAGGTGGGTCAGGCCTGCTGGGGGCAGTGGGGCCTCCCAGGGCCAGCTCTCTCAGGGGTTAGGGAAAGCAGGCTGGCAGGAGAAGCCACAGCCTAAACACTGGGGGCCCCACAATGGGAGCCTGCCCCACCCTGTGGGCACCTGCCCGACCCAGGATCTCCAGGGGAGAGCAGGTGGGGCCAGGTGGCCATGGCCGGTCTCCTGTGTCCTGGACTCAAGGGTGTATGAGCCACGGACATGGTCCCTCTGTAAGCCCTGGGGGGCTCTCCCCGTAGCACAAGGCCAGGCCCCTACCCCACGCCCTCCTCACCCACTCGTTCAGTTGCCACCCCCTTGAGACGCTTCCAAGACCGGCCATGCTGGCAGGCGCCCTGGTGCCCTGGGCGGGGATGCACTAGGCCAAGGCCCCTCTCAGTCCCCAAGGGCAGGGCACATCCCATCACCACCGCACCACCCGCTCAGTGGTCCCGGCCCAGGCGCTCCCCCTCAGCTGCTGAGTGAATCATCCCAAGAGCAGCCCCTGGCAGTGCAGCCTCCACTTGGACAGGAGCGCCCAGGGCAGAACTCAGTGTGCCCTTCTGCCGGGACAGGCCGTGTCTGGGGTTCCTCGCGCAGAGGACTAGCCCACACTCGGTGCTTCATCTGTCCTCAGGCCACCCCTCAGTCGGAGCCCCCCATCCAGGGTCCTCAACCAGAAGCGCACCCTCAAATCACCCAGAAAACACAGGTCAGGGCAAGGCTTGGGTCATCAAAACTGTGGAAGGGATCCCCACATTGGCCCAGATGCAAGGAAGACCACTGGAGGCTGCCTGCTCCGGGCTCAGCCCACTTCCCGGCACACAGTAGGTACACAGTGAACTCACCCGGATGCACACACAGCCTGACCCCTCAAGAATCTTGCTTCAGATCACATGGCCTTCTGGCACCCGGCCAGGCAATTCCACCGGCCTGCCCGGCCCTGTCCCCTCTGCTCTATGAACGAGGGAGAGAATGTCATCTCCCAAATGGGCTGACAACAGACGCCGGCTGCCAGGCCCATCTCAACCCCGAATCCGGGCGCCTGTGTGAGCAGGGCGCCATTCCCGAGGGACTGCCCCGAACAGGTGCCTGGCTGCCCGCTGCCTGCGCTGAACAGAATCCGCAAAATGCCCGCTGCTCTGGGACCCACAGGTTCCCTGAGGTGGGCGGACACCTGTCACAGGGCTCCCTGCAGCTCTTCTCTGAGTCAGCACCCACACTTGAGGACTGGGCCTCCACTGTCACACTCAGGGGATAAGGGCGGGCACCATGCCTGAAGAGAAACTGGCACCTGGGAAGGCAGGACTGGAAACAGGAGCTCTGGGACTCAGAATACAAGGACGGAGAAGTGGCGGAGAGAATCAGGCACGGGGAGATGACAGGGACGGGCGAGGGGCAGGGGTCCTTGCAGGACAAGCCTCAGGGCCGGGGTCAGGAGCCTGCTCTACCTTCAGATTCCCCACAAGGACAAAGGGGCCAGCCCAGGGCACCAAGGGTGGCTGGTGAGTGGCTGCATCAGCAGAGGCCGGGCTCCCAGCTCCGTGGGCGGCTCTGGTTACAGCTGAACACGGCGGACAGGGTGGACACCCATGCATGCTACAGCTGCCAGTTCCCACGCCGGGGGTCCCATCAGACCTGGTTTTTTCCACAAAGGGGAGGCGGTAGTGTAGATTTGCAAACCAGGGTAGCCCCGGGCCTCAGGGAGGAGCGCCTGCGGCCACTGCAGATACTTGTCCTGTCCTGAGTCCGCGAGCCTGGAAATGGGCGAGCCTGGAAATGGGCGAGCTTCGGCTGCTGCTGCCCCTCTCCAGGGAGGAAAGGCCAGACACGGTGGTGCAGGTTTGGCAGGGGTGCGGCCCTCAGGACCAGGACCAAGCCCAAGCCTGCCTGCTGGAGGAGGCTGAGGCCGGCGGTGGAGGGGGATGGCAGCCCCAAGTGTGGCTCCATCCTGCCCCAGACTCGCCGCGGTAGCCCACACGGAGCGGGCACAGCCACACGGGAGCCATATGTTAAATCACATGACTTGGGCATAAATGGCTCCTGGCACATCTAATGAAGAGATAACGTCTTCGAAATCATTGTGGCAGGAACAGGGTCCTTCCTGCTAATTCATGTCGCCGGGTGAAAATCTGGGCTCCACTGAGGGAAAAAGTTGGGCCTGTAAAAGAAGAGCCTTTTCCGGCTCCCAGTTTCAGAATAAAGCCGCGCAGGAGTGCGGCAAGGCCACAGCCTGATTAATGCCTAATCATTTATCTGGCGGCGGCAGCTCCCTGTCATGTGACTCCGCGCCCAGGAGGCTCCTCTGCTCTGCCTGGGTCCCTGCAGCCCCGCACAGGTGCCTCTCCGGAGGGGCTGCCCGCCCTGCCCGGCGCCCCCACCCAGGAAGCTCCCGGGGGATGCACGCGCGGCTCCCACAACTTGCGCGACTTCGCGCCCCCGTGGGTCAGGGCTCCGGGGCCTGAAGCGGCTCTTCCACCGCACAGCTGGGCGCGACTGCTCTCCCCCGTGCAGACCGCGGCCGCGGAGTCGCTCCCGCAGCCCGGGCCGGGCCTCGGACGGGGCGCCCCCACCTGTGAGTAATTGCCGGGGCCAGGCCACGGCGCGCCCGACCCTCCCCCCCAACGACAATTCTGCCAACGGCGGAACTCAACAGTGTGTCTGAACAAAGAAAAGTGCGTTAATTACCGCAGACGCGAGGAGTTCCGGGACCCCCGCCCGCGCCCCCGCCGGCCGCCGGTTCTCCCGCCCCGGAAAGTCGCGACGACTTTGAGAGCCACTTTCCCCCCCACGCGGCGGCCGCGCTCGCGCGCCCCGAGACCGGGCTCGGCGGAAACCGAAAGCGGGCGCCGGGGCCGCACCGCCCTCCCCGCAGCCGGCTCTCGCGTCTCGGGCGGCGGCGAGTGTCGGGGGGACCCGGGGCGCCCCGGCCCGCGCCCCCGCTCACTTCTTCGTGCAGTCCAGCAGGATCCCGGCGAAGCTGCGCTCCCCGCAGCTCACGGTGACCACCAGCGCGCCGTTGACGACCTGCTCCACCCGCACGGGCAGCCGGCAGCCGGCGCGCGGCTCCATGCTCCCGCCGCGTCCCAGGCCGCCCCCGCCCCGCCGCCGCCGCCGCCGCCGCCGCCGGGTCAGCCCCGCGCGTGACGCCGCCCCGCGGCCGCCTGACGTCACAAAGCTCCGCTGGGGCGGCCGCCACCGCCGAGTCGGGCCGGGGACCCCGCCCGCCGCCGCGTCCCGGGAGAGCTGCGCCCGCACGCAGAGCTGGGCCGGACGCGCGCTGCGGACCCCGCGCTGAGGAGGGGGCTGCGCCCGGGCTCGCGGACACGCCGGCCGGGGACGTCCCCTGGCATGCGAGGACCCGAGAGCCACGCGCCCGGGGGCGGCGAGGAACCCCGTCCTGGCGGCAGCCCCGGGACCCCGTCCCCCGCTCCCCGGCCTTGGCCGCCCGGGCCCCTCCCCCTCCCGCGCCAGCCCCCGGCCCCTCCCCGCCGCCCTGCCCCGCGCACTCCCTCCCCCGTGGCCCGGGTGCCCCCGCCTGGGGTCGGCCGCCCGCCTGTCCTGGCAGCGCCCCGCGCAGGGCTTTCGTGGCCCCGGGCTCTGCGGAGAGGAAGTCCCGGGCGGCGCGCGCAGGAAGCCGGTGGGGCCGGGCGAGGAGACGCGGGGCGCACGGGGCAGCGGCCTAGTGTCGCCCTCGCCGCGTGGGGTCGGGACGGCGGGTCCTCCCACTGGGCTCGGCGCCTCTCGGGGGGCTCAGGGCCAGTCTGCGCGCCCGGGGGGGTGACTGTCCTGAGGCCTCTGTCGGGAGCGCCCCTTCGGGTGGCAGAGCCGAGGGGCCCGGCGCGCCTCCGCCAGTTTACAAAGGAAACAGCCTCCTTCCCCAGGGGCAGGGGCTCCCCGCGGGCAAGGAGTGGGGGTGACGGCGCCGGACCCTACGCCAGGACCCCGCAGTCGTCAAAGCCCCTGACTTCCTTCCCCAGCATCGGCGCGTCCGCACCCGGCTCAGAACACAGGGCCCGGCCTGTGGCAGTGACCTTGGCCCCGGGCCGGGCTTCTGAGCCGGGCTGGCCGCGCCTGACTGGGCCTGGAGGCGGGGCGGGAACCGCGGAGTTGTCGGGGCGACCCAGCGCCGCCCACGGCTCCTCCCAGCCTGGGAAGGGAGGACCACCACCGCGGCTGCCGGGGGCAGTCGGGCCCTGGCGCCGCTCGACCTCGCCCTCCGCCGGCCGCGCAGCAGAAGGAGCCGCAGAGAGGAGCCGGGGCTGAGTGAGGGAGCCCGCGGGGCCTGGGGCACCTGACCGTCCCAGGTAGTACAGGGGTGGGGATCGAGGACGAATGAGCCAGGGGTCTGGCCAGGGACAGTCCCAGAGGAGGCCTGGGGGCCCAGATAGCACCCGTCCTTCTCTGTGTGGACTGGGGCTCCCGCCAGCACCAAGCCCTTCCTGCACCTTCAGGCACCTCAAGGCACCCCACTGTCCAGGGTCAGCCAGCCCCTCCCCACTGGCCTCCAGGCCTGCAGAGCAGCCTGCCTGCTGTCCTGCCCACAGGCCTCCGAGTCTGCCCCCTCCAGGGTGGGGCTGACTTTGGAGGAGACATGCCAGGCAGCAGGGACCCCCTCGCCACCCTGACCCATGTTGGGCTCAGCGGCCTCCCAAGGCTGCCCACCTGCTTGGCTCTTCTCTCTGCCTGCTGGAGAGGCCTGCTGGGCACTGCCCTTCCTGGGCACTGCCCTTCCTGGGCACTGGGGACGGCCAGGGTGGGGCGAATCAGCTTTCAGGCTGGTGAGGGCCAGCATGGGGTGAGGCTAATGCACAGAGGGCCGCATGTGGGTAAGGGGGTCCAGAAAGAGTGCCCAGGGAACTGTCGGGGGGAGCAGCAGCGTCCACCACAGCCCCACCTGGAGGCCACCAGGTGGGCAAGAGCAAGGGCTTCCAAGGTGGGTGGGGGGAGTCAGGAGTCCCTGCAGGGTGTCTGTGTGTGCATGGGGCTCCTGGTGACTCCCTACACCAGCAGGAGATACAATTTAGGGGGGTCAGAGGGACCCACTTGTGGACTTGCTGGGCTTTGGGTGGGACCAAGGCTGGGTGGTGGAGGGCAGGAAGGGGGAAGAGGGTCTGGGGCACAGAGGGCCGGATGGATGCACCCCACAGCTGGCAGGTCTGGCACGAGAGGGGAAGAGGGCAGTGAGGGGCATGGCTGGTCCCTGGCACCTCCTGCCCCTCTGCCCTGCCCGCTTTCCCTCTGCCTCTGCCCCTCTGGCCAGTGCTATGTGCTGTGTATTTTTAAGTGAACTTGGAAGCTGTTTTTAAAACCTGCTCTCCACTAGGTAAGGTATAAAAAAGACCATCTGCAGACAGGGAGACCATTTTTGCAACATAAATGGTGGGTGTTCAGGGCCCACCCCAGCAGCCCTGCCCCCCCCCCCCCCCCGCCTTGCTCCCCCCAGGCTTCCCGCCCGCTCCAACCCTCTTGTTTAAGAAGGCCATGGGAGTTTCCAGAGTCCCTGATTAAAATGCAGATGTCCTTGGGGGCCTCACTGGTCCAGGCGTCCCTTCCGGTCTGACCCTGTATTCGGGGTTGGGGGGCTGCCCCAGGCTTGCTGCTCTGAGCATCTCCCCAGGGACCACCTGCTTGTGCTGGACAGTGAGTTCTGCCCAGTCCTGGAAAGGACCCTGGGTAATGGGGCCGGCGCTGCCCACAGTGAGAGGACACTGAGCTGCCTGGCTGGGCTGGAGAGGAGCTTCAGGAGTGAGTCCCTAGCTGGGGCGAAAAGGCCAAGCGTGGAGAGATACCTCCGAGGTCTTCAGACTTCGTCTTCAAGAGACTTGGTCCTAAAGCCTTCATCCCCCGGCTGTAGGCACAGCCGCAGCAAAGTCTAGCACACACCCAGCTCGGGCAGCCCAGCCAGTCGGATGGGGCAGGCTAAGGGGACAGGAGACTGTCCTAAGCTTCCACTGGGGCTGGGGGTGGGTGACCAGAAGTAGGCAGGATGGGTCGCCTCAAGGAGTACAGTTGGGGAGGGACGGGTGGCTCGGCCTCCATGTCCCCTGAGACAGCAGGGGGGAAGGCGGGAACCCTGTAGGCAACCTCCCCTCAGGGTCTGCCTCCCCTGCAGTCCTTGGAGGAGCTCTGGGATTTGCGGTCCCCAGCAGGCTGGCTCACCGCCATCACCAGCTCCATGCCCGCCCCTCGTCTTTCAGGTCACTCGCCAAGCTCTGAGCTCAGCGGGCCCCACTGACTGCAGGACCTGGACCTGCCCAGCACTGTCCTGTGCTGTGTAGTCACTGAGACTTGGGAAGGACAGTGCTGAGCAGGTGCTCAGCCTCTGTGGGTGTCTTCCACGAGATGCAGCTTACGGGGGCCTCCCCATGACTGAGGTGCAGGCACAGCCTGGCCTGTGTCCAGCCTGCTCCAGAATTGCCTGGCCAGCCAGCTGGTGTCCCCCCAACCCCCAACACACCTGGGCTTGCTTGATCTTACTGGAGCTCACTGGGGCCTGACTATGTTTGGGTCTCACGCAGCACAGTGAGGTGCTTCTGAGGTGGATCAAAGGTGGTCAAGGTGGAGGCCTCGAGGGCCACAGCCATGAGTCAGAGAGCACAGATTTCTCCAGAGCTGCTGCCCAGAGCCAGAGGTGGGGATGGGCCTTGAGGCTGGGACCCAGGCCGCCTCATGGCAAGCCTCATGCCCACAGCAGCTGTGGAAGGCAGGAGACAGGACGCCTTTAATAATGACCAGGTGATCCTCTCATTCTAGAAGCCTGGACGGCGTGGGGCACAGGAGCACACCAGCCTCCTCCAACGTGTCTGGCAGGGACACACACTCCTTGTCCCTTGTCATGTCCTCTGAGGCAGGGGCTCAAGGCAATCTTTGCAAATGCTGAGCCCAGGAACCCCTGACCTTCCAGCAGGCCACAGATGGCTTTGGGCAGTGTTCGTGTTCTTCGGCTCCAGCCTGGAAGCCCTTGGAGGGCAGTGTGGGTCTGCAAGGCTGACTTTGTCCTGTCTGGCCGCCCTGCAGGGGCTGGTCTGGAGCTTGGTCCCTGCCTGGTGGGTTACCAGGAGGATCTAGGGCCACACCCCCTGAGGCAGTATCTCAAAGGACTGGCTAGGACAGAACCTGGCAGGACTCCACTGGAGGGGCTGCAGAGAGCTGGGCAGGCACATAAACTCTGAGGCCAGACTGCTGGAGTCCTGCCAGGACCTTGGGGAGATTGCCACCTCCCCTCTGCCTCAGTGTCCTCATCTGTAAAGCAGGAATAATCAGGGTGCCTGTCATGTAGGCTTGTACTGGAGATTAAATAAGTTAATAAACATGAGATACTTAGTACAGCACAAGCCCCAGTAAGGCCTCTGTGAGTCAGCTGCCATCCCCAGCATCAGCACTTTTGACATTGTCAACACCGTCACCACCATCGCCATCACAACCTCCACCATCACTACCACCACCGTCACCACCACCGTCACCACCACCGTCACCATCCCACCTCCCCCATCGCTACTCTCACCACCACCACCATCACTATCACCACATCACCATCACAACCATCACTCACCACCACCATTATCACATCACCACCACCACCATCACCATTATCACCACCATTGTCCCCATCACCACCATGACTATCACCACCACCACCACCACCATTACCGCCATCATCACATGTATCACCACTACTATCACCACCGTCACCATCAGCACCACCACCACCATCTCCATATCACCATCACCATCAGCACCATCACCATCACCATCATCACCATCACCACCATCTCCATATCACCATCACCATCACCACCATCACCATCTCCATATCACCATCACCATCAGCACCATCACCATCACCACCATCTCCATATCACCACCACCATCTCCACATCACCACCATCTCCATATCACCATCACCATCATCACCATCACCATTTCCATATCACCATCACCACCATCCCCATATCACCATCACTATTACCATCAGCACCGTCATCACCATCACTTCCATTGTCACCATCACCACCATCCCCATATCACCATCACTATTACCATCAGCACCGTCATCACCATCACTTCCATTGTCACCATCACCCCACCACTCTTATGATACTTGTATAGCTGGGCCGTC